GCCTGTTCCATTCACGTATTAATCTTTCTTGCTATTGCCGAATAGGAATTACAAACAAGATTATGATGCACTAACATGAATTGCTAGCTCTAACTGTTCATGACTATTTTGAAAGACTTGCCACCTTCCGATTAAATCATATTGTCACTCTGGGATTTATCAAAAAAATGGGGGGAGAACTCAATGAAAGCAAAAAAAAAAACACATATGGACATAATATTTGCTTGTTATGTGTTTTTCCTTGTATTATTGCATGAACAAATAAATCATGTGATCCTTCTATATTCTGTCTCGCATGATCTAGCCTAACACCATAGAAAACCGAAATATTATTTTATATCAGTGGGAGAATTTTGATGGGAGCGAGATCTCTTGGAGCCAACACAATATTATTAGCCTCACATATTGTCTTGTCTAAACGGGTCCCGCTTGTATTCATGATGGTTATTAATCCTTGTCTGAGTATGGTATCATTGTTTTCTCTTGGAATTATTGCCCTTATACAGGCCACATGTACCTCAAATTGTCAACATGACAACATCTTTACTTGTGCCTCCCTGCTGCTCTCTTTCCTTATTCTTGTTTCTTTCTCAATGGGTATTAGTACACCTTATGTACAAGGACAACTACTAAGGGGGGGGGGGGGGGGGGGGGGATATGCCAGAAAATTCCCAGCTTGGTTCTCCTCGAAACAAGCCTAATTTAATTGATCCTCTACAGCTTTTTCGTGCAGTGGGGACAGACACATGTCTGATGAAAACTCAATCAAACCAACTCGGTACCAAGGTGGGGGTGTGATGTGTTGGCCATGGCGATATAGTCATCCTCTTTTCCTTTTCATATCATGGATTGCAAGGGATAGATCATATTGAGAACAATTTGTCAACCGACTCTATTCGCATGAGCTTTATTGGGTTTAGAACTTGCTTTACGAAATCTGAAAGCATGAAAGATTCATCTTTGTTTGGTCCATGTTACACTTACCAATCTTAGAATCTCTAAACTAGAATTCTAATTATTACATAAATTTTTTCCTGTGCTTTTAAATTCAATCAACTCTGGGGTAATCGACCTCACAAGAGGCTAATTAAATTTCCATAGTACATATGGATGCCTTGATCATGTGGGAGGGGAGCAATTGCATGATGTATCGGGTCAATAAAGAGACCCTCATGGCTAACCTCACGAGAGGTAAAGTAGGCATGGCATAAGAATAACTTCACCCCTTAATGGAGATAAGGCCAAGCAATGAAGAGACACCCAACAGGATTAATCCAGCAAGTTCCAATGAATTCTTTCCAAAGGTTTTGTCACTTCTTGGATGTCCCCAAAATGAAGATGCTAGCACATAACACCATAGTTGGTCCCTTCCGTTTGTTCTCGTGCCCCTCTCTCTCTCTCTCTCTCTCTCTCTCTCTCTCTCTAAGTGTTCTCCAATGAGGAAAAGTGTGAATAAATGGGGGTGAAAGTACAAATACTAAACCCCGAACAAGAAGCGTGGGTTGCCTTTTTTTTTTTTGCACCTTCTTCTCTTTCTTCTTCTTCTTCTTCTTCTTTTCATTACTTTTTTCTTCTCTTTATCTTTTTGGTCCCGATGCGTACACTTCTTTTCCGGGCAGAGCACCCACATTAGACTCCATGTGCTTCAATGTCACCTCAACAATTGGTGATGGTCTGTTACTGGATCATCTCCACGTACATGAAAGACAAACACCTAAAAAGGGCCTTTTAAGTGCCAAATTACGCTTGTAGTATATGGAGGTTGTATACTACTATCAAGATAAAACTTCTATACCCCGATATAGTTCGATAGCTTAAATTTTTGGAGTAAATGATCGTGCACGTAACTCGGAGTTTAGAGAGGTTGTCGTATTTGTATGCACTAAGTTGCATATGCATTCATTGGTTCGACAAATGGGCCTTCTAATTATGTGATTGCAATGTATAAGGTCGGTTGATTTGATACAAGTAAGGATCCAAAAGTACGTAGTACATGCGAAACCCGACATGCATCGGAATTTTTTCGAACACGTTTGTATTATTATTTGACATAGTATATGGCTTGCATTCATGTCCTCATCTACACGTTGAATGAATTTTGGTCTATGATCAGTCTAATACGTGTACCTCTACCTGTAAAAACTTATTTAAAATCTGCAAAATACTCGAGGCCTATGTTGGTGCTCTCATCCTTTGGGCAATTTTTCATACCTAAAAAATGTCATTGATTCTCACCTTTTCTTTTCTTTTCTTTTTTTGGTAAAAACAACTGTAATTTGTCGAATGTATCACTTCGTTTATGGAACGAGTTAATCCAGAGAAAGATTTTGCAGGTGTCGCTATCCGATGGCAAGAAATTCAAAGCTTCCATGATTTCTTTGGTTATGAAGCAATCTAGGACAGAAAAACAAACAAAAAGCAAACAAAAAGAAGATGTAAGTGGTAACATGTCACATACACACACATGGAAAAGAAAAAAGATAAGAAAGGCGTAATTTTACAACCAAAAAGCTTCCGCGAATTGACATATGCTTTAACAGGAAGGATCTAAAGCAGAGAGAGAGAGAGAGAGAGAGAGAGAGAGAGAGAGAGAGAGAGAGAGAGAGAGGGTTTTCTTACATACATGCTGTTTTTTTGGTTATATTCGAAACCCCTTCTCTGAAAAAAGCATCATAATGAATGAAGGAAAAGGTACAACCCCACAAACCCTAATCATGAACAGATGTTGGGGACCCTTTCTTTTCGTTGGAAGGAGCATCTTTCGATTCATATTCATCCCTCAATAAGAGCTGTAGTAAATTAAATTGCCTCATAAAGTCCTTTTTTTCTTTCTTTTGAGCAATAGAGATGGCTCAAGGAACAGGCCATGTGAGTGGGGAAACTCATCTTTAAATCCAAAAAGAGAAGTTTGCCTGTGCGACTCCAAAAAAGTCAAAGCATCAAATCCAAAAGAAAGAAAGATCAAAAAGTCCCTCCCTTTTAAAAAGCCCACAACCCCAAAGTGCAATGATAGCCTTCGTTTCACGTAAGCAAGTGTTAGGATTGAAAAAAAAAAGTTGTAAAAAAACATGGGTCGGACCTACTTTTATTGTTCTGCAGATAATAAATATGTGTAACTTATCTGGGAATTCATCTTTATGAGTGCCCTTCTTCTGCATTTTTCTTCTTTGCACTTGCATGTATGTGTATGATCGCATCTTCTTAGCTTCATGTGCATTATATAGTAAATCAAGGATCCACAGAGATATTTGTCTCCATAGCAATCAAGGGCGATATTATTATTAGATTGATTGGGGTTTGATGGCGACAGCTACACAAATTGGTCTCGGATTGGATGTCTTGTCCATTTGCTTGGACTCATTAGCATCAACTTTGGTATATATCTATATAAGATCAAGTGTGTTGTGTAATCTGTCTGGCAATTACAGTCTTTGTAAGACACATCTAAAAAAAGAACCAAATTCTATTTGTAGAAAAATCTTTTGTGTGAAAAGTGCCCTAGTTATAATTGATTATGATATCATCCTTAATCGCATCGTTTTCTTAATCTCTGTCGTTGCTTTTTGTTTCTTTAGAGAAGCATTTTCATCTTCCATTCACAGTATTTATCAACTACGTGGTAAAAGAAAAAAATCAGCTATAACTACGAGAAAGAAGCCAGGTTACAGAGTTCCTTGATTTTTGGTTCTTTGGTTTAGTATTTAAATGGTGCCCGGGTCAACTTTCGCTCACCTCGACTAGTCCATCTCTCTGTGCTAGCTTTGATGTTGTGTACGTGGTGGAATACCAAATTATCAAGAAATAGAGTAAAATGTATGGGAAACAAGATTGAATATTTCTATCTACCAGAGAAACTGAGTTAAAAATTCACGTGCATCAATTAGAAATGCGTAGGATCATTGGTATTTCACACTAGCATTAGCCCCATATGACCAACCTTGTGGGTTCAACACTTGGGCCTTGAGCACAATATGGCCTTTGGACTTTAGGAGGCAAGTGTGTGTAGCTTGCTTGCTGTCCATGCACAAGTTAAATGGGCCTATAAACTTGTTAGGCAGGTATATGACGCAATAAATCATCCAGCCCACCATTCTTGAAACTCCCTTGCATTATCAATTGATTAATAGACGGGTATAGTATGTTGTTAGGGATTGAGATCTTCTCCATATGGCGAGGATGGCAGTCCAAGATCTGGGATTTGAGATCGTGGGCCTCCATTATGGAGGTCCATTATGGGGGTTGCAGCCATCAACGCGCATCAATTGTGAAACTCACATCAGTGAATTCAAATGGAGCTCCCCATGGGGGTTGCAGCCATCAACGACCTCTCAGCAGAGGTCAACAATGGCCACTGATAACAAGATGTTAAATCACCAAGTTAGTCGAGGTCGGCAATAGTCATCGATGGTAGCAACTCCATTGTCCCTGTGAGAGGGAGAGGGAGAGAGGGAGAGATAGGGTCGACGGGTTGGCAAGGGCGAATGCGATGCACCGCGCGGGGTAATGACATCGCGGCAGAGGTGGCGATGGTGTGGGGGACGAGGTTGCAATAAAAAGGCTCGCTCGAGGAAGAAGAAGAGAAAAAAAAACGAAAAGTAAAAAACATAAGTGAGCAAAATATAACTCGGTAGTTCAATTTGAACCGACTAACGTGTCATCTATTTAAAGAGAGTAAACGGAACATATTGGTTACCCCTAAATAAAGAAAATCTCAATTCACATTCATGTCGAGACATCAAAAGAAAACAATTTATCGAGAAAACCTGACAGTGAACTGAGCTAGCTTGCGGTAGCCAGTAACTAACCAACTGAACAACACATAAAAATAGCTTTACTTTATTATGATTTCGGCTCACCATGCATAACATAATTCTCCACACAACGATGGAGAGGGATAGAGAGATATCCCACACAACCCAATCAACCAAAACCAGAAAAAAAAAATACTAAGCTCGTCTAATTGATGTGTTTCAACTTATTGTCGAGGACTAGAAGATCAATTAGTTATTAGATCGTCTGAAGAAGCCACCTCTGGATGAGTTGCGATTGATGGACGAGAGTACAGAGACGATGACCATGCAGACCAACCCTAGGGCCAACAATCCGGTGGAGATGATTCCCCGGTTGAGGAATTTGATCGCCTTCGACTTGTCGTCGTCGTCAAGCGGGATATCGAACGTGAGGAGGACGTCGAAGAAGTCGCGGATGAATTTCTTTAACTCGAAGCTGATGGCGAACCCTGCGCCGACTCCCGTGGCCAAGATCAAGCTTATGAGCTGCACAGACATCGACAATGAGATAAATTAAACTGGAGTTATGCTCAAGATGATGGTGTGAATTAGCTCATTTAACAATATGTGGTCATGTAAAATTAATAAGTAGCACGTGCTAAGGTACCTTGTCGCCATAGAAATCGAATTCGGGCAAGCACCCATTGCGAAATATCCTCTTCTCGGTGCAGGCATGGTATATTGCAAACGGAAGCTGCACTAATAAATAAGCTGCTCCGATCAGCGCTGTTGATAGCACATACCTGCACATTACTTTCACTTCGTAATTTAGTTCCCAAGTGATCAAAGTCAAGCTCAATTATAGCGCGAGTTAACCGAGATTGGCCATTGGAACAAGCTTCACCATGTAGACTAGTGTTTGCTTGTATGAAAATTATCTTTTGCTTCATATGTCTAGTGAAGATTTCGGAAGTTATCTGCTCTTGACCATTACCTACTGTGAAAAAGTCATGTACCACATCGTACATATTATCATGAACATCTCTCCAGACGATACCAGATGCAGGGAACACAGAGTTGGAGATGATAATCCGTCGACAGTCACCATAGAACTGTTTACCTGTAAGTGATGACATCCTTGAAGGTCGTCTTGATGCCATTGCTGTATGTTAAGTGGTTGGTGACCATCACAGCTGCAGAACCGGCCAAGGCAAGCAAGCCGAAGATCCTGAACAAGAGCATCGAAGTCGCGACTTCTTGGTTGGCCATGATTTCGCAACCTCCCTCTTGATTTTCTCTCTTTCTCGGTCTTTCTAAGTCTGTCGCGGTCGCACGGTGTTGCAACTCTTCTTGTGAGCGAGTCCTTTTATAATCAGAAGCGGCCCTTTCAACCTCTCTTCTTGATTATATCAAAAATCATCTTTGGCTGCATCAGTTTTGTTCCTTAGCAGCCCTCGTCGGTAGGCCGGGCAACAATGTCCAGTGCCCAAACAAAGTTTAAAACAAAACATCCTTATTTTACGTTCATTATTAACATTGTCGGATTTGATTATTTATTTTAAGGTTCGACGCGGAAGGATCATTGTATATCTTTTCGTCCCTATCGAGGATGGTTGTAATTTTTGTCCAATGTTGCTCTGTGTATACTAGCAATAAGCCGGGATTAGTGTAAATATTGCTCTCCTGCCTGACGAATGTTTGTAGCTCCATCCAATCGTCGGAACGTACTCCTTATTAACGCGTGCGCAATTTTGACTCCACAAACCAAACTCCTTATTCCTAGTTAACATTGGGTTGGGTTTTGTTCACCAGCTCAAACTCGAGACATAATTTAACACTTTCCTTTGTCACATGCATCTGTATGTAGGTTGCACTAAGATGGATATTCAATATAGTCAGTAAACTTTTATTTATTATGTGAAATTATCAACAATTTTTTTGGGTTACAAACTTTCATTAGTTGCTTATATGCATTAATTCACATTCTCTTAAAAGATATAAAAATTTAATAATTGAAAGAAAAATAAACTTGTTTAGTAACTCAAATGAGGTCTAGTTGCTAACTTAAAATTAGTTGGTAACTTAATTAGAGAAACATTGGAAAGTATCTAATAAAGGTTTGAAATTTCTTGGAAAAAATTGGTGAATTAAAGGTTTTGCTAAGAAATGCAAATAAAATCTAATAAATGTCGAGCAAAATTGACAAATTATTAAAAATAAATAAATATTTGAAAGTAAGTTAAAGGAGAGTTGGTGAGTTGAGTTAATAAATAAATAAACTTGTTTAGTAGCTCAAAACAATGTAGTCATTTAATAAACGGGAGAAAAGTTGGTGAGTTGAGTTAATTTAGGATAAATGCACTATTATAAAATAACAATTAAACGTTGCTAAGTAATTCAAAAGAGAGTTAGTAATTCAAAGCCAGATTGTAATAATATAATCTGAAAAAAGTTTGTATGAGAGTTAGTAAATTCGAAGCGTTGGTAAGTTAGATAAACAAAAGTTGGTAAGTCAGTACAAAAATCCCTAATTTTGCTTAGTATGAAAGATGGTTAATAATTTCGTAATGGTTGACCAGTAATCAGCAAGGGAAATGATGAAATGGGATTAACATAATATAAATTTTGCTGAACGAAGACCTCTGTCACACATATTGATGCACGCAACGTCAAATAATAAAATAAAAAACAGAAAAGACGATATACCACTTTGACTTTTACGACGACAAGCGACCTGGAGATTTCAACATCTGCGCGCTTAAAAATCAAAGCATGCAATCAATGCTTGCAGACCAAGGAAAGTTCATGCAGGAAAACGTCCAATTCCGGGTCAAAGGCAGCTCTTCTTCTCGTTTATTTATATTCCCACAAACATCGCTCGCTTACAAAACACAGACAGACACGCACACACGAGAAACAACAATGGACGTTGTGCTGAGTTCAGGACACAGAATGCCGTTGATCGGATTAGGAACGTTCACGATCCCCCTGCCACCGCCCGACATGCTGACATCCATATTCCTCGAGGCCATCGAAGAGGGGTACCGCCACTTCGACACGGCGGCGTGCTATGGCTCCGAAGGGGCACTTGGCCGAGCCGTGGCTGAGGCCCTGGACCAAGGGCTCATCGAGAACCGCAGCCACATCTTCATCACCACCAAGCTCTGGTGCACTTACGCTCATCCGGATCTTGTTCTTCCCGCTCTCAAGAAGTCTCTCAAGTAAATATCTGCTAAGGGCGCGCATGGAATCCATTCTGGAGCAGAAATTCTGTTCCAGAATGCATTCCGGAACAGAAATGCGTTTGTTAAAATAATTTTGGAATGCATTCTGAACCAATTTTTGCATTCTGGAATAAAAACGCGTTTGGTAAAACTTCATTCTTTTTTTTGCTCTAAAATGAATTTTTGCTTCCGGAATGAGTTTTGGCCCAAAAAAGAGAAGCTACTTTTTTTTTTTTTGGTAATCAAACTACTTTTTGTAGCTTCTCTCTTCCAGAATGCATTCTAGCCCAAATTTCCTTTTTTTACAAGAAATAAAAAATTTCAAAAAATGAAAAAATCAAAAATTTCAAAATTTCACAAAATGGCTTAGAATACCTGTGGCCATCTTATTTGAGTGAAATTTAAATTTTTTGAGGTGCAAAAAAAAATCAAAAAATCAAAAATTTCAAAATTTCACAGAATGGCTTAGAATACCTGTGGTCACCCACTTTCAGTGAAATTTAAATTTTTTTAGGTGCCCAAAAAAATAAAAAAAAAATAAAAAACTTCAAAATTTTACAAAATGGCTTTGAATACTTGTGGCCACTCACTTTGAGTAAAATTTAAATTTTTTGAGGTGCCAAAAAAAATCAAAAAATATAAAATAAAAAATTTTACAGAATGGTTTAGAATACCTGTGGCCACCCACCTTGAGTGAAATTTAAATTTTTTTAGGTGCAAAAAAAAAGAAAAATAATAAAAAAATAAAAAATTTCAAAACTTCACAAAATGGCTTAAAATACCTGTGACCACCCACTTTGAGTGAAATTTAAATTTTTTGAGGTGCCCAAAAAAATAAAAAAAATAAAAAATTTCAAAACTTCACAGAATGGCTTAAAATATCTGTAACCACCCACTTTGAGTAAAATTTAAATTTTTTGAGGTGCCTAAAAAAATAAAAAAAATAAAAAAATAAAAATATTCAAAACTTCATAAAATGGCTTAGAATACCTGTGGCCACCCACTTTGAGTGAAATTTAAAATTTTTTAGGTGCCCAAAAAAAATTAAAAAAATCAAAAATTTCAAAACTTTACAGAATGGCTTATAATACATGTGGCCACCCACTTTGAGTAAAATTTAATTTTTTTTAGGTGCAAAAAAAATCAACAAATCAAAATAGATTTCTGTTCCAGAAATCAATTTCTGGAGCAGAATTAGTCATGTTTTACCAAACAGATTTCTCCTCCAGAAATCAATTTCTGGCAAGAATTCCAGAAATCAATTTCTGGCAAGAATTTGATTTCTGGAGCAGAATGATTACCATTCGCACCCTAATTGGCCTTATAATCTCCTCCCACTTATTTTCCTGCTTGACACTAAATACAGTTCTCGTAACCACTATGTCGCCAAATATTTTTAAAGACCTCAGAAGAATTTCTTTCATGGGAGACACGATAAACATCAGCTTTCACTTTGGTATATAATCATCAGTTGCACGCATTAGTTTTATCCAATTTTTTCCTTCATATTATGTTTCTATTTTTTGTTGGGTTTAGTCATGTTGTGTTCATGTTGCTTGTTTCTTTTCTTTGGCACTTGGTGTATTTATTAATTATATAGGAGGCTAGGGTTGGAGTATGTGGATCTGTATCTAATCCACTGGCCAGCAAGAGTGAAGGAGGGAACCGAAGGGTTCGATTTCAAGGGCAAAGTTTTGCCATTTGACATGAAAGGGACATGGGAGGCCATGGAAGAGTGCTCCAAGCTGGGCTTGGCCATGTCCATTGGAGTCAGCAATTTTGGCACTAAGAAGCTCTCTCAACTCCTTGTGCATGCCACAATTCCTCCTGCTGTAAACCAGGTAAAAGAAAGCATATGTATGTATGTATGTATGTCTGTACATATGTACGCATGTATATTCATCAATTATTCTGGTTTCATTTTTCAGACGAATTACTAGCAAATCAAGATTTGTTTTTGTGTTTGTGGGCTAATCATGATTTAGGTGGAGATGAATCTTGCGTGGCAACAAGAGAAGCTGAGGACGTATTGTAGAGAGAAAGGCATACATGTGAGTGCGTGGTCTCCATTAGCAGCGAATGGAGCTGCTTGGGGTTCATTAGCCGTTATGGAGAGTCCCCTGCTTAAGGAGATTGCTGTTGCCAAAGGAAAGTCTGTGGCTCAGGTACTTTATTATTTTCCTATTTATTTTGGTTTTCTCTTATCTCAAGTCGCCCATGTAAAGGGGTTGCGGCAAATTAATCTAGCCCATGATCAAATTGGCACGATACACTTTAAAGCTAGACATCATGCCAAGAGCGAATCCGGCGAGGCATCCTACGAATAGAATAGAAGTCAAAGGTTTTGTCATTTTCATATTGGAAGCGAAGCCTATAATATTCCTCCTTGGTTAAATGTATCTATATATAGGTTGCACTGAGATGGATATATGAGCAAGGGTCGAGCTTCATCGTGAAGAGCTTCAACAAGGACAGAATGAGAGGGAACCTGCAAATTCTGGGATGGGAACTTAGCCAGGAGGATTTGGAGAGGTTGAAGCTGCAAATCCCACAGAAAAGAGGATATGCAGGAGAGAATTACATTTCTGAAGATGGGCCTTACAAGACGGTGGATGAGCTGTGGGATGGAGACCCTTGACGATCCCCGACATCATTTTTCACGTTGTTTCAAATGTGTTTGCAATTATATGTGAGTTGAGCAAGGTGTTTTCAAGAATTTGTTTGAGAATATACATAAAGATTTCGTTGTACGATGTCGATTCTCTCTAACTAGGAAACGAAATAAGACGACAAGTTATCGGATCATTACGTATCATTCACATGGAGATGCCAACCACCAAGGAAAATATGCAAGTAATGCTACCAAGGCAAATAAAAAATAGTTATTCGATAGAAAGTTGATAAATAAAAGAATAGTTAAACATTGTAAGTAGTTTAAAAGATGGTTAGTAATTCAAACCCAGTTGGTAATAATATGATGGGATAAGATTGAGTACTAAAATTTTATAAAGTGCAATTAAGTTTTAAAACTTATCAAATTAGTGCAATTAAATCACTCCATTAATTTTGTTCATGAGTTGACTGACTACATTCAAATTAGGTAAATTCATGTTGACTCACTTTGCTGGCGAAACCGTTTTATTAAAAATTTATACGTCAGATTTTCAGCCACACAAATCGGCGATGACAGTAAAATGATAGTTTTTTTTTATTATTTTACAAAAGTAGAATTCAAGTGATTGCTCAAATAATTTTGGTACCGAAATAAGCGTTGTATAAAAGTTATGGTATTTGTAGTGCCTTTTCCTTTGCTAACCCATATCCATCCCTCTCTCTAGTTTGGCTATGTCTACAGTGAGATATTTTAGTTCGATAGAATAGACCATGCGCTTTTTTGGAAACTCATAAATACATATAATGGGTGAAGCTTTTGAAAATTTGGATCCGATACCAATAAGGTACATTCCAAGGTAGTGCAAATACCATAGCCACCTTGAACCCGTGCACCTTTAAACTATATTGATGCCAAGCTACAACTTCACAAAATTCCCATACACTTAAAACTACATTTTTAAAGCATGTGTCAATGTAATTGACAACAACATTTGTTTACTTTGACCCCGCAAGATTCTTCGAACAACCATTTTGACTCTAATCGATCTTATCAAACCAAGTTGTTTGTTTTACAAGTAATAAGCCCAAGTTGAATCAAAAGAAATCGTTCAAATCATGAACGGACCCAATTATTCAAATACTTAAATCAAGAAAAAGAATAATAAAACATTGAGGTGTTTGGTTCATAAAATCTCATTTTTGTGTGACTTTGATCTCACACTTTCCTTTGCCTTTGAATACGGTCATCATTTTTGCATGACACTTGTATTTCAAGAATATCACGGATTACTTTTGAATTACCAATGTGGACATTATATAAATACATCGTGATTTAGTTCGGTCAAGTACAAAGATAATGACTTGAATTTTCATGTGATCTTAATTTCCTTTACCAGTTCTACACCTTGGATAGGGCCGATATTTGAAGGATACACTTCTGACCTGTGACATGGCTTTTATTATGTGGACATTATATTATACGTATTGATTATTTATTTGGTAACCATGCCTTTACTTATGTTGCATGAAAGAATAGCGAGAAATTTTCCATGACAACGAGGGCGACTTTATAAAATCTGTCTTGCATTGCACGCATGATCTTTGTCACAAGTCCAAGTTAGCTATAATATAATAACACGACTTCGCATTTTCTTATTCTTGATATAAATAATTAGGATTCCTTCAAACAACCTCTGCCTCGAAGTCAACTATAGTGTATAAAAAAACTTTGAATTTAATTTCCTTATGATTGATTTCATTTTCTTCTGCTTCATATAAGTATTAGTATTACTTCGAACAACCTTTGCCTCCGCATTTTCTGTCACTAGATTTCCACCATCTCTCTCTCTCTCTCTCTCTCTCTCTCTCTCTCTCTCACACACACACACACACACAGAACAGAAGACCATACACGATGTCGTGGTCCCAGATGTAGTGCTAAGCTCGGGTGAGAAAATGCCACTGATCGGCATGGGCTGCGCAGCAAGCCCTTCTCCGCCGCCGGACGTGTTGACTTCCATATTCCTGGAGGCCATCGAAGTCGGGTACCGACATTTCGACACGGCGGAGTTTTACGGCTCTGAGGAGGCACTCGGCCGAGCTGTGTCCGAGGCCCTGGACAGGGGGCTCGTCGAGAGCTGCAATCAAATCTTCATCACCACCAAGCTCTGGTGCACTGACGCCCATCCCGGTCTCGTTCTTCCCGCCCTCAAGAACTCTCTCCAGTAAATACATTAGTTTGCCTTCTCTCCTCCATTTTTTATACGATGACACTATAGTCCTGATTGCTAAGAATTTTTAAGACCGTATAAGAATTTCGTTATGGGAAAACATATATGGTAAACATTAATCTTCTTCCTTTGCCAGATTGACTACCTTTCACTATGTTATATACTATGGCAAAATATACATATGTTGCATGCATTTTATTTTGGAGATTGGAGATCGCTTTTCAACTTTTATTATGCTAAGAATGTTTGTCAATTTTTATGTCATTACCTAACATATTATAGAACAACAATAACATACCATGTTACATCTTGCTGTTTAATCTTTCTTTTTTTCCTGGGTGCGTTCATGGGTCTTGATGGTTTTTTTTTCTTTTTTATGGCACTTGGTGTGTATCGATTTAAATAGGAGGCTAGGTTTAGAGTACGTGGATCTGTATCTAATCCACTGACCACTGAGACTGAAGGAAGGAACCGAAGGGCTCGATCTCAAGGGCAAGATATTGCCATTTGACGTCGAGGGCACATGGGAAGCCATGGAAGAGTGCTCCAAGCTGGGCTTAGCCAAGTCCATTGGAGTCAGCAATTTCGGCACCAAGAAACTCTCTCAACTCCTCTTGCATGCCACTATCCCTCCTGCTGTTAATCAAGCAATGAAAAGAATATACTCTATTTAATCTAGGGTTAATACCATGAAAAACCCCAAACTGGTATACTTATGACAAATTTACCCCAAACTATGTTTTTGATAACAAAAAAACCTAAACTGGTACACTTGTGACAATTTTACCTCGAACTAATTTTTTGACCACCAAAAACACCAAACTAGTAAATGTGTGACAAATTTACCATACATTAGTTTTCGTTAAATTTTATTATCAAATTGTTAAGTTTGATGACACGTGGTAGTTGACGGGTGTAACAGTTTGGGGTTTTACCCCTATGTTTGTCACAAGTTTATCAATTTGTGATTTTTGGTGATATTAATCCAATTTAACGGACACTAACAGAGGGTAAATTGTCACAAATGTACAAGTTTTGGATTTTTAGTGATTAAAAAATTAGTTTAGGATAAAATTGTCACAAGTGTATAAATTTAGGGTTTTTGGTGGTCAAAAAATTAGTTCGGGGTAAAATTGTCACAAGTGTACCAGTGTGGGGTTTTTTATGGTAAAAAAAATAGTTCAGGCTAAATTTGTCACAAATGTACCAGTTTATGATTTTTTGTGGTAAAAAAAAATAGTTTGTGATAAAATTGTCATAGGTGTAACAGTTTGGGGTTTTTCGTGATATTAACCCTTGAATCTATCCATCTCTGTTATAACCACATCAAGATTTTCGTGAAAAAATACATTTTATATGATGGCTAATCATCGTTTAGGTGGAGATGAATGTGGCATGGCAACAAGAGAATTTGAGAGGATATTGCAGACAGAAGGGAATACATGTGAGCGCATGGTCTCCATTGGGAGGGAATAGAGCTGCTTGGGGTACATTAGTGGTTGTGGAGAGTCCCGTCCTCAAGGAGATTGCTATTGCCAGAGGCAAGACCGTGGCTCCGGTAATTTATTCTCTTTTCTTCTGTGTTTTTCTATCTGTTTGGCGTCAAATTTTTCCTTGGGAAGCGTACTTTAGAAACTCTTCCCTCAGAAATTGCATTCCTTGCGTGAGAAAAAGCAACAAGCGTTTGTACTTTGTAGTTCTAATTCCTTTTTCCCCTTCAAGCATGTCCTTGTCAGTCAACGGTGTCTCTCCATGAAGTAATCATAAGAAAGCTTTTGAGTTAGTTTTAGTGAAAATCATAAGATAAGGTTTAGTTGAACCGGCAGCTTCAGACTGACGTGGATCCTCTGCATGCGGACCTTCCAGCAATTAAAAGTATATTGATGAAAATTATTTTTTACCAACTTTGGTCATTAAAAATCCATCCATCGTTCATCAGTCATCACCCAAAGTCATCTTATTATTTGGTGAAGGTACTGACCCATTTCTTCCATATATTACTCTCTAATTTCTCAATATGCACTTGCCGAATTTTACAAAATATATATATATATATTTTCAACCGTTCTCAAATTAGGACTTTATTTCTTTTGTAGACCTGTATCTGTGCGCTTAAAAGAACCTACGGCAACATGTTTCTTGTAAAGAATTCTCGGTAAAGAATAGTTCTATACAAAAATCTCAAACTAATATATCCGTGTCACATATACTTTAAGCTAATTTTAAGGAAAAAGCGCCAGAAAAGTCCTAAACCTATTGCATTTATGCCAATTTAGTCATAAACTTTTTAATGGTGCCAATTTAGTCCTAAACCTTTTAAACTATTGCCAATTCAGTCCTTCTAGCTAATTTTGGCCGGATATTGTTGACGTGGATGCCGGTCGACCTATGTGGTACGGCTGGCGCTAGGTCAGCCGGCGCTAACGTGGACAACTAATAATAATATTTTAATATTTTTTCGAATATTTATTTATTTATGTTTCTTTTCTGTTTTTTTTCCTCCCCTTTCTTCTTCCTTCAGCTAGTCGTTGGACCTCAGCGATCGGCCAAAGGCCAAGGTTGGCGAGGCTCACCCTCGCCGGATGGCCGTGAGGGCGGCCTCACGCTAGGTTGGTGAGGCTCACCCTCCTTGCTGGCCCTAGCCTCTGGCTGATCACCGAACTGGAGGAAGAAGGGTGGGAAGGGAAAGAAAGGAAAAAGAAAAGAAAAGAAACGAAAAAAAATAATTTGAAAAAATATACCGGCGACCAGCTGGAGGAAGAAGGGAGGGGTTGGAAAAAAAGAAAAAGAAGAAAAGAAAAAAAGAAAAAAAAATAATTCGAAAAAAATATTAAAATATTATTAAAAGTTGTCCATGAAAGTGTGGACCGTGCCATGTAGGTCGGTCGGTGTCCATGTCAGCAATATCT